GATGTTTTGCCTCCGGCCTAGCCACATCACCTCCTAACCCCTCCAGCTCCGACTAGGAGGGTGAGCCGTGTGTTCCTCCGCCAGGCGAGGCAGGGAGCCTGGTTTCCCTCTTCTCTTCCGCCATGGCTGTTGGGGGAGGGATCGCAAGGGTCACCTCCGACCCAACCTCTATCGTTGCCATGGAGATCGCTGCCATAACCGCCGCCGCCGCTACCGCCATACTCACGACCGACCGAGAGGACGCAACCCCTAGAAGGGAAGGTCGCACCGCCGCAAGTCTGTTTTCCCCACCGCTCATCGTGACTCGCTGTAGGCTGGGCCTCCACTCCTCCTGCATGGGAGGTGGGGCGATGCCTAGTCCCATCAGTCCCTGGCCACTGTCAAAAAAGTACAGGTCAGTCGCGCTCAAAGAACTCAACTATGAGATAAAAAAGGAACAAAGATGCATACCTGGACAAAAGAGATAGGGCCCTGAAGCCCCAACCCGCTAGCAATGAGCCCACCAAACGAGGACCGCTCATGGGTCATGACCCGCGCCCCCTCACATCGATCGAGGGAGGAGCCGACTTGGCCGGTTCCCGATTGGCCCCAGCGAGTCGCCGCGATCGCCGGCTCGTGGCGCATCCGTCGGGGCAACTGACAGGGCATCTCCCGTTGTGGGTCACACGCACGCACCGACCCCAAAGATGTGGGCCTATGAGCATGCTCCTTCGACCAGCCGGCGTGCCCCGCCACGCTCGGAGCAGGGGCAAAGCCAACGATGCCTCCGAAGGGCACGGCGACCGCGCGCTTCGCCTCTCGCTCGATGGCAGCGTCCGAGCTCCCGGCGTGGGAACGTCATCGTGCGTCTCCGTATCCCACCCACCACCGACAGACATGGCCGTAGGCGCACGATGCTCCACCGAGGTCGCGATGACACCCCTGTCTCCATCATCCTCGGAGGTGCTCGCGTCGCCACCCATCTCCGTGGGTCCTCTAACTCGAGCTCCGCCTCCAAGTCACTTCGATTTTCATCGGCCCGCACCCGCCAGGCGATCTCCTTCTCCTTCTCGTGCCTCCTCTAGGCCTTCTCAGCTCTCTTCTTCTTTTTGGCAACCACTGCCTCTTTTAGAGTGGCTTGCCAAGCTATGCCCTCTGGCCCCCTCGGAAGATGCGGCCAGGACTTGTAACCCACGAGTCCCTACAAAAATGGACGACTCGAAGTCAAAATACAGGAGAGCAAAAGGGAAAAGGACACATAATAAGAAGAGGGGAGCATACCAGATTGGACAGCTTCGCGACGTGAAGAGGTTCGAGCTTTCCTTCAAGGGACTCTTTGTCCCTCAGTTGCAGCACCCGATCAAGCCAACTCCAGACTTTGTCCTTCGCCAACTCCTCCGGCGATGCGCGGTCGGGATTTGTTGGGACGGAGTAGGCCCACATCGGTCGCCTCCTCTCCGCCAGTCGGGGCAACTTGACGGCGAAAGAAACTGTGGAACACCCATAGCCCGTCGAGGCCATGTTGCACCAGCTTTTGGAGCTCCACCTCGATGACCTCCAACTTATTCTGCCAACTAGAGGGACCCCACGACCAGCTCTCCCGCCTCTCCAGCCTTCTTCCGATGAACGGCGGGAACGACGCCTCCGCTAGATTCCTAATGTAGAACCACTCCCCATGCCACCCTCGATTGGAGTCATAGGGAGAGTACGTGGGATAGGAACCCGACGGCCTTGGCTTCTTCTACAAAGCGAAGCCCCCAACCTGGCGCGGTCCTAGGTGGCTTCCCCTCTGATAGGGCTCGTCCGGTGAAGATTCGCTGGAACAGATCCATGTACGGCCACGTCACGAGGAAGGCCTCGTCAGACGGTGATGAAATCGGCAATGTGCAGCGCCCCAGTCGGATTGAGGTGCTGCAGCTTCAGGCCCCACTTGTTGAGGAGCCCACGCAAGAACCAGTGCGTGGGATATCATAGCCAGCGCTCGTGGAAGGCGAGGAAGGAGACAACCTCATCGGCTCGAGGTCATGGAACGGCTTCCCCTAGCGTGGGAGCCCTCCAATGCGTCGCCTCCTACGACGGAAGCAGCCCCTTCTCGGCGAAGGCGGCCAGCACCGCCTCATCTACGTTGGATGGCCTCCAATTCGACATCGCACTCCGAACTCACGAACGGATCTATGAGTTCTCCTCTCCCTCGCTTTACCCTCTTTCTCATAGGAACCGCCGGCACACAAACGTGCTTGGCGAGAAGGAAGAAGGAGGAGAGGCGGCAAATGGAGAAAGGCGAAGGAATGGGACAAAACCCTCTTTCTTCCCCTATTTAATGCGGATAGGCATGTGGTGGGACGCGTCCTGACTAATGGGACACACCCTGCCCAACAAAACATCACCCGGTTAAAGCGGGACATGGCCTGGGTTGGGCCCACCACTACCACATCCCAAGAACAGGAAACAAGGCGCAACCACATGCAAACGACCCTCCGCCTTCCTAGGCAGGGTTTGGAAGGGCCCACCGATAGGATCTCCGTCGAGGGAAGACCAACGGGCCACCTGAGTCGATCGAATGGCTCAGGCGACTACCAAGAGACATGTAAGGAGCAGCGGGATGCCCCATGCAGGCCACGTTGACTCCGTCACAAATGACGGACACGGATCCCATTCAGACATATCTGATAAGAGCTCGTCAAACCCGTCACTCGAGTCATCAAGGTAACTTTACCAAGCCTTCTTACTTTGTTTTCTGATGCATGATCATTCATTCATCCTTTCTCATGCACGCATTCACACATTCATTCATACAATCATTCATCCATCCCACACATCCAAAGCATCGCATATGCAATTAATGCATCACAATGCTTCGTGTTGCGTCATGAAGCGGTAGTTGCCTCATTCAACATGAGCAACGACCGACCGGGGTTCGAAGGCAGGCCCACGAAGGGCTCGAGGCCGCCTCGCGTCAAACAGAGCCAGGGGAGAAAACGTAGATGAGCCCCAGCGGCTCGCGCGCACCCTCTGGCAAGTCAAAAAATCCCCCTGACGATTCTACCCGAATCACCTGGGGGCTCGAGGGCTACACCCACCGGGTGCGCTCGCGCACACCCGCTGGCAAAATGAAAAATCCTTCAGACAATTCTACCCGAATCACCCAGGGGCTCAGGGGCTCCTGTTGGGTTCATAAACCCGGGGTCCCTAATGGGCCCACTTCCCAGCAAAAGCTCAGCCCAACAGACGGCATTACAAATGACGTGCAACTCTTGGGTTGGCCCAGATACCTAACGACAAGCCGGAAGAGTGATTCAGTCTCCGACCGGAAGGCCTGGCCAAGGAGGGGACGACGCTCGCTTTCGACTCTAACCCGCTTTTCTGACCGGAAGGCCTGGCCAAGGAGGGGACGACGCTCGCTTCCGACTTCGACCCGTTTTTCCGACCGGAAGGCCTGGCCAAGGAGGGGACGACGCTCGCTTACTGTCAGGCCATGCCAGAAGGGTACTTTGCAGCCTTCCAGACATGTCAGAACACAAACAGTGTTGTAGGCGCCGACATTTGTATTACAGTATAGTAGGCGCCGACATTTGCCATACCAGAAGAACATGATGGAACCTGCCACATGCATCTGGGCGTCAACAGTATTATGAACGCCGATAAACTGTCTTGTACCCGACGGCGTGGGCAACAAGACTAGGGAACACTCCCTTTCTCTCTCTCTCTCTCTCTAAACTTGTAAGACCATCCCCTTCACCTATAAAAGGGGATGCGCTTTCTCCCAACGAAGGACGGTCATTCCGGCTCTCTTTGCTAGCTTTAGACATTCTGAGCACTCGAACAGCTCCACGGCTCTAGAACCCTAAAGCTACACAGAGCATACGTTCCAATACTTAGCGCACGTAGGAGCTCCCGTCACTCTTGGCCCTTCGGTCTAGAGTTCGACCGGACCTCTAACACCCCCTTCTCATTCCAACTCGTTTGTAACCCCACAGCAAACTTCGAGCACCTAGGCTCAGGAATAAAGTCACCGATCGACTCAAATTGGACGTAGGGCACGTTGCCTGAATCAGTATAAACCATGTGTCATTGAGTGTTAGGCCACATCCGATCACAACGTACGGCAAAACGACAAATATTTACTTGTTGGTCACTTTTCGCACCAACAGGACCCTTTGACCATTCCGTCCGTTCGGATGGGTAGAAGAAAAGAACGGCGCACGATGCCCGCACGTATGCTGCAGCGGCCAACAGGACCCCGGTGCGACGCCGCTGCCACCACGATCTACAGGGTCAGCGGGACCCACGCGAAAAGGAGGACGAGACACCCCCGGGAGCCTTATGTCTCTTTCTTTTTCCCTCTTCCTTCTCTCAGTCTCTGGTATCCTGTTCTCTCCCCTTGGTCTATAAAAGGGAAGTGAGGGCACCGTTCAGAGAGAGAGAGATCGATCGATAGATTGAGAGAAGCATCGATCAATCGAACCACAAAGACTTGGGAGCTCCTCCATCTCTTGCCAGTTTGTAATCCTCTACTACAAACTTAGTGTTGGTAATACAAGCAGCCCGAAACTAGACGTAGGGACATTCGGCCCGAACCAATATAATCCTCGTGTCCTCTTAGCACACCATCCGGATCATTCGCGTAATATACAAATTTACTAGTCGGCTGTTCGAAACACCAACAAGGCGCGTGCGTGGGAAACAGAGTGCACCGCGGGCGTCCGTCCGTCGGGGCGCTAACACTACCGTTAACATATGTATCATCCCAAAATCAAATGGCCAGATAGCTCCTTTTTCTTAGTTTGAATTTACTGTATTATTCCATGGCAATTGTTGAACAAATACAACAGCACATCCTTGGCGCTCAATTTACATGTCAGGCAGACACCACGAGGCTTGTCATATAATAAGCTTACAAGGCAAATATAAAGCTGCATACACAAGTACTAAGCAGCAACACTTTATTAACAATCCAGTAAGATTACATTCAAATCGAGTATAGAGAACATGAGTTGCATTCTGAAGGAGATAACCTTACTTCAGAATGGTCCTTCGCAGAGCAATGAGCCAACCTTCAGGCCTTTCTTCTGAGCGATGGCCTTCAATTCCTCGGACATCGCGCTCTCCTCGATGATCATATGATTCAACCGAGTGGCGCGCTGGGCAAAGAGTTCAACATTACCTACAGCAATGCCAGGACAGCGGGAGATGTCAAGGATCTCCAGTGACTGCCCACAGTGCCTGAGCAACGAGACCAGCGAGCCGCCCGTCAAGCCCCGGCACCCCCCGAGTCTGATCTCAGTCAGATTCCGGCAGGATGACAGCATGGCGCCGATCACCTTGTCATTCAGTGTCTCATTGTAAGACAAATTAAGTCGACGGAGTCGTGGCATGCTCTGACTGAGGAATGTCAGCAACCCGGGCTCCCGCTCCACCACGTCGCAACTCACAAGGGCAAGCTCTTCTATGCCGGCTCCGGTGGCTGTTCGTGCCAGGGACCGGAGGCCATCCCCTGTGATAAGGACGCAGCTCTGGAGGCGAAGTGCAGCTAGGCCATGTGTAGCATCCTGACCGTGGTGAACTGAGCCAGCTCCAATGGCAAGGAGATGATCATTGTGCAGGTCGAGCGGGAGGCGAAGGTCCAAGGTATGCAGACCAACAGCACGCTGCTGGATGAACCGGTGAAGGGCCTCGCTGCTGCCGCCGTCATAAACCAGGAGGGATGTCAGCGTGCGGCAATGGTCGGCTGCAAGGAGGAGTACACGGTCGGCGACAGCACGGCAAGCACGAAGCTCCAGCGCGAGTAAGCCAGCGAGGCAATCCGCGAAGGCCAGCGACGCGGGCCCGTCCCCGGTGCCGTCGCAGGCGCGCAGCTGCAGCCACTTGAGGCTCCCGCACCGCCGCCACAGCCATCCAAGCCCGCGGTCGCCAGAGCGGATGCCGCAAAGCGACAGCTTCTCCAGCGGCAATGCCCCTACGGCCTCGGCCTCGCCGCCGCCGTCATCCGAGCTCGAGCCCGCGGAGTCAACGCTGGCGGCGGAGTTGACGAGGGCGAACGACTTGAGGCGCGGCAACAGCTTGAGCCAGCGGAAAGACAGGGGGCGAACAGCGGTGAGGTGGAGCGACGTCAGACCGGAGAGCGCAGGGCAGGCGGCGAGCAGCGCGGCGGGGGAGACCGCCCAATCGGGCAAGAGCCGCAGCGTGGAGAGCCGGGAGGCGGCCGGCGCGGCCGCGATAGCGAGCAGCACGGCGTCAGCGTCGTGGACCGGCGTACCAGCGGAGACCACGGTCAGGGCGGTGAGGAAGGGGTAGTGCGACAGCAGGACGGCGAAGGTCGCCGCCGAGGACGCAGGAAGGCGGAGGGCGAGGGACGACGTCGCGGCCCTGAGAAGCGTGAGCCAGCGGCGGGAGACGAGGGACACGGCCGGCGCGGCGGAGGGCGGGAGAAGGCCGAATACCTCCAGCAGCAGGTCGTCGCAGAGCGCGGTGTCCATGCTGCCGCCGTAGCAGCCGGCGCGACGGGCGCCGCAGCCGTCGCCGCCGCCAGCGGCGGCGGCGTGGCGGGAGCTTGTTGGCGCCGTCGGTGCGGTGGGGGGGCCAGTCAAGCCATCGGATTGGTGCACCCGGGCTGCCGCGCGGGTGGGGGAGAGAGGGGGAAGCGGTGGTGGGGTGGGTAATGTAGTTGCTGTGGATTGGGGAAGGTGGGGGGTAGTTCTTGTGCTTTTGTCGAGCCGTGCTGAAGTTTCACGTCTCCAGAATCTCCAGTGCGAGTCCCACCGGCCTCCCGTTGCACCAATTGCAAACGCAACGGGGATAGATCCACGGCTACAAGCCGGCCGGGACCTTTCCTGTCTGAAACTGGAAGCGAGCACATCAGGAAAAATGGCAGCGCCACCTCTCGGCCTCACCTGCAGGGTCGCCGGGGCCTTCACCACCCCGGCCGTGGCGCATTCCGGTTTCCGCCCCCGACATCTCGGCCCTGGTCTCCTCCCTTCAAAGGTTCGGGCTTTTACTTGAGCATCTCCCCCTCGTTTGCTGTGCTCTGTTCAATCATGGCTCTGTGTGTGCAGAGATGGAGCGGGGTGGTGAGGATGGGAGCGGTGGTCGGAGGAGGGCAGGAGGGAGAGGAGGACGAGGAGCTGAGGCAAACAAAGGAGCAGGCTGCCGCCAGGAGGCGGTGGGAGACTCTGGTGAGGTTCCTTCACCTCGTTTGTGGATATCTACCGTACCCTGCTCACTTTGTTTGGGGTGCAAATTTCTCCTGAAGTTACTGTCAGCTCGAAACTGCAGGGCTGCAGGATTGTTTTTGTTTTGTTTTGTTTTGTTTTGTTTATTTTAAGTGTAAATGCAATGTGCGCTTGAATTAGTACCATCACATTATATGGTATCTGATTCTTTGGTCATTTGCCAATTGCTCTGGAATGCTCTGCCTGAAGATTAGGGAGCAGAAAATTAAAACCCTTACACCGAGGGAAGCTGGTTATACGTTCAAACTGACGGACAAGGCTCTTCTGGATGTTAGGCCCTCAAACGAGCGTCAAAAGGTCCGTATTTCTACCAATCATTTTTGAACATATAAAACGGTTCCCATAAAAAATACACACAAATCTTGTTTCTGGTGTATATTGTTTTGTGTTTGTCCTTGTTTATTCCAAAACTGGCATGTTGCAGGCTTGGGTGAAAGGCTCTACCTGGATTCCTATATTTGATGTGGATACATCGGTTGATCTGGGCGGACTTAGCAAAAAAATCAGCAACTTTGTAATGGGTACGCCACTATTACCATCTGAATCTGAATCGTGTCCTGACACTTGCACATTATGTTTGATTCTGCATCCAAATATAGTCTTGCTTTCCAGATGCCTTTTTTTTTCCTTTTCTATATTACTAATTGATCTCTCTTTAATACAAAGATACGCAGCTCTCCTGCGTGTCCGAGAAAAAAAGATTACTAATTGAAGACTGTTCAGTCGACTAAACTCACACATGATTGTTGCATAGGTGGCTGGTGGAGTGGCAGCTCAACATTGTCATTTAATAAGTACGATTCACATCAACTGAAGTTGAGCTATCTATTCTGATCCTAACAGAGTGATTGAGACTGAATGTAGATGAAACTGGCAGGAACTTTGTACAGCAGGTTGAGGAGAAGTTTTCAAAAGATACAGATATAATACTAGTGTGCCAGAAAGGACTTAGGTGATTTCTTAATATCTTACTGAAGCTAGATTCTTCATTCATGTAAAGCAGCCAAATACATTTATATTTTTCAGCTTGCTTTCATTTGGATAGCACATTCAGTAATGGGCCTTTTTGGGAGTACTGTCTAGGTGTTTCAGTGTTTCTGGATCAATGTGGAAAGTCATCTATTGTTTTCCTTTTACATAAGTTCATATATTTGTACATCTTCAACTTGAACTGTTTATGCTGACAGTTTTCTATTTGTGTTGACAAGTTCATCCTATCACTCTTGCTGGGAAGATTTCATGTTATCTGTCCTATTGGTACTTGTATATTCTATCATCTAGCCTGAAGGTGTACAATCTAAGAAATATTGCAGAATAAACGAGAGCTTATGTGCATTGTTTTTTTAATGGTTGTTTTCATTTTTTTCCATTTTCCTCCAAAACGTGGGCAGATCACTTGCCGCCTGTGAACAGCTGTACAATGCTGGTTTTGAAAATTTGTTCTGGGTACAAGGAGGCCTCGAAGCTGCCGAAGAGGAGGTCGTACCTCGCAAAAAGAAATCACCTATTGATCCCTTGATTTGTTTCTCGGTTATTTTTTAGAATATACTGAATCTGTATTCCTTTTCTTTCAGGATTTTGAGAGGGAAGGTTCCCAGCCTTTCAAGCTTGCCGCTATTGGTGGGGTTTCTGAATTCTTTGGGTAAGTTCCATGACCTGAGCTGTGTCAGCTGTTGTGCTTTGACCAAAATGCACGCAAGCTGTTCTGATAACTGACCGCGTTACACATGTTCTTGACCAAAATGCGCTACACATGTTGTGAAAACTGAAACAGCAGTTTGCCAGTTAATGTATGACCTTGCTACTGACTTTAAACCTGACAGGCTGACGGGAGGTCAGATTACCATACGTATTACACATGTTCTTGAGCGTGATAGCGGCTTTAGACCTGATAGCAGTTAATACGTTTCATCAGCATTATAGAGCAGCTATTCCATTAGCTACTAAACATAGAACAGTCAGCAAATCGTTTGGAAATCTCTTCCCTGCAGGTGGACGGACCAGCAACGCAGGCAGGCCGCAAAGGAAGGACTGGGATACCGGCTTGTCTTCACTGGTCGCTTGGTAATTCATCTCAAGGAGATGGCCACTCGAACTAATTGCTTTGCAAATTGCAAGGAGAGGGGATTGATGTTTTCTTTGTCCTGGAACTTCAGGTCGGAGCACTGGTGCTACTTGATGCTTTGTTTCTGGGCGCTCAAAGGATCGGCCCTCTGCTTCAAGAAATGCAACCGCGTTGATCTCCGCAGAACGTTCCTGTAGCCAAGGTAGCTCTGCCAACACGTCCAGTTGGGTTTTCTGTGTCGTCAGAGATGCCAAGCATGCTGTCCGCTATACAAGTGTACACATGTCGCAGCAGGGTCTTCGAGTGTCATGGCTGCGTACAGGCGGTGCGCTGTAGATTGGCTTTTTTGTTGTAGGCTTGTAGCATGAATGAACATCATTTTTGTGTGTGTATGTGGAAAGAGTAGCGCTTGGCACTTTGTAGTAGTTTAGCACGGCAAAAGCAGAAGAAATTCTTAACGGAGAGGCCAATGTCTTACGCCCGGTTCGCTTGGCTTATAAGTCGATCACGAAAAAGATTTTTTTCTCACAACAAATCAGTCAACAGTACTTTCAATCATGGTTTATCAGCCAAACGAACGGGGCATAATTCCATCCTGCTAGGAATCAATTCGGAATATTCCTTTGAGATAATGGAGAATGAGATGCCGGCCAACTTAACCAGGGTTTACACCCAAACCACGGGTCGCGCGGCCCCCAACAACCCCCGTTTCGTACATGTATCACTGACCAGTGGGCCGCCAACGCAGCTGGACACACGCCAGCCCTCGCGAGTCACGATCGCACATCGGTGCATCATCGCTGCACCAAAACCAAGTCTCCGGGCCAATCCATGGGTGTAAGCACGCAGCACGCATGGTTTTTCGCCTCTGCGGTAGTGCGGTTAGGTCTACCGGACGAAATACACAGAAAACAATAGCCGGAATGGAAGAGAATTTGGAAACTATCTGGCACGGCTTCATCTGTCTCCGACTCTTTGCTCAAATACGTGAAACTGGTGCCAGTGGGAAAAAAAGGCTCTTATTTTATGTTATAAAAATAAAAACAAATTGTTAATTACTCCATAATAGTGCTACGCACGGAAGACAACTGACCGGAGCTCTACCAAGCAAACCGGGTGCGCTGGCAACAGACGCGGAAACATCTGTCACCGATACGCCTGCCAACGCTTTCATATGACATGTGGGCCGATGTGCATCTCTGGCCCCCGGACCTACTGCCACCAAACAGCGTCAGCGACACAGCTCGTTTTTGCGTATACACGAGCTCCGTGTGCCTGTGTCCGATCCCACCACCACCACCCAATTACCCTCTTGCCTTGCCATTATCTGGGATGGTCGTGGCCTATGTGACACTAAAAAGTTTGAACGTACTTATGTGTTATGATATTTTTTTTTTTGCCTCCGAAGCCATTTCATCCACTTTTTCATCTAACGGTATCAATCTACGTTGAAAAAAGTCCCAAATACCCTCACGTTGCTTCTTGACCGTGCCCTTCTTCGTTTCCTCCATCGGTCGTCTTCGTCCGTCCTCCACCATGCGCGGGGCCAGGGAGCCCCGCGTGCGCCAGGGCGGGGGGCCGGAGGCGGAGCCGGCCGTGCGGGCGCCGGGGCCGGGGGTGGAGAAGACGAAGTCAAGCTCGTTGAGGCCGAAGTTGGGGCGGGAGGCCATGTCGCCGAGCACGCAAGCGGTGACGCCGGCGAGCTCCTCCATGAGCACCTTGAAAGGGAACTGCGGGTCTGCGGCGACGCAGGCGGCCCAACCGGCGAGGAAGAGCCCGAGGATGCCCCCGCGGCGTCCGCCTTCGGAGTCCACGGCGTTGCCAGATCCGCCGGCGACGCCGTACGATCGAGGCGGTGGGGGCGGGGGCAGCCTACCCCCCGGGCCGGACGGGCACAGGGACCGGAGGCGGAGCATGGACGAGGAGTTGGCGGAAAGCGGTGAGAAGGTGAGATTCGCGGTGGGCGTGGCGCGGTGGGGGGCGATCCGCGGGGAGGAGTCGAGGTGGGCCGAGAAGAACTTGGCGGTGGCGAATGCCGTGGAGGCCATGGCGATCCGGACGCGAGGGGATCGCGCGCGTCCTGTGCCCCGCGTGTGAGACGGCGGTGGCGGCGCGATGTGGGAGATGAGTAGTGAGACGGCCTCGGATGGGGAAGGGTTTTGGCCTTTTGGGGTTGGTCAGTTGGTCCGATGAAGCGCACGCGGAGTAGCCGAGGCTACGGCACCCAGAAGAGGAAGCCGAGGAAGGAGGCTGCGGCAGGCGGAAGGGCAGTTTACGCCTTGACAAAGGAATATTTTGGACGTTTTCACTGACTGGGCCCACATGTCAGGACTAGCAAATGGCAAAAATCAAACGGAAGGTGGCGGAAATCTTGGAGAAAAAAAAGGTAAAATATCATGGTATAAGTGTGTTCAAACTTTTTTTTTTGGCACATAGGCCGCGACCGTACTTTATAATGGTACACGGGTCAAAGGCTCATAAAGCGCGGGGGGCCGCTAGGGTTAGCGCATCGGAATCAATCGTGTCCTCACCCGCACGCCGAGACCAATCCCAATCCAGCCGCCGCCTCCGCTTCGCCTAGCCTCCGGCCTCCCCTCCGATTTGATTCGAGGGACCGATGGAGTGCATCGCCGAGATGCCCCGCGCGCCGCTGGACAGCCGGCCGCGCAAGCGGCAGCGGCTCGGGTGGGACGTCGGCCCCGCCGAGATGTACCAGGTTACGCGGCCGCGGCTCGGGTGGGACGTCGGCCCCGCCGAGATGTATCAGGTATAGCATCTTTTACCCCTTCTGTTTTCACTCGCGGATCTATCACTGGGATGTCGATTTCCCATGCGCAGCGCGTCAATTGGTGCTCTTTCTAGGGTTAATTGCCATGCGCAGCGCGTCTATTGGTGCTCTTGTTCTAGGGTTTAGTGGTGGATCTGTAGAATATCAGTACTCGTCGCCGTAGATTGAATTGTTTTGGTGTGGACCTATCATATTCCTCCCAGATGCTATTACTATTGCTAGGGAGCGTATGGTGGGTGGTAGGTGTGGTTGGTGTTGCTCTTTTTCGTGTTGATAGTATTATTTGGATTGGTATGGGTTATAATCTGTATAATCATACTGTTTCTTCGTTATTTATTCTACCTTTTGTAATGATCTGCTCGTCCTATTTTGTGTTTATAGGTAGACTTTAATTTACAAATTGGAGTATAGGTAAATTTGTGTAGTCACTGAAGGCGAATTAACTGTACCATTGAAGAACTTGGGAACTTTCTAAATTGGTATATATAAGCTGGGTGTAGCAGGGTTTTGTGGTGATTTGGTTGCTTAATTGCTCAGTTAGATGGAGAATTTATTGGTTCTTCTTTCCATTTTCAGTTAGGACTTTGTGGACAAGAAGTTGTGAATGCCATCAGTGCTGTGGCGTTGGGCCTCTCTTCGGGCTGTGTTTCTTCTCAAGTCAACCAAGAGCAGCCTCGTGATGGTTGCCCTCCTCTGAGGGAAGATGACAAGGATGGGCATTATGTTTTTGCTGTTGGAGATAACCTCACATCTCGCTGTAATTATCTGCCTTCATCATCTCTTGTTGCCCATACGAATCTGTTTCCATGGTTGGTTCTTATCGATTCTTTTCTATGTTCGCAGATAAGATCAATGCAAAAATGGGAGAAGGTCAGTTTGGATGGCCATGTCTTGTGAAATAATTGATTAACTCGCATTGGGATGCTGTGCAATACATGCAGCAGGTTATGTTCATAACTGAATGTGTCTGGAATACATCAGGTACCTTTGGTCAGGTGTTGGAGTGTTGGGATAAGGAAAGGAAAGAAATGGTGGCTATCAAGATCATCAGGGGCATTAAGAAGTACAGGGATGCTGCAATGATAGAAATTGGCATGCTTGAGCAGCTTGGTAAATATGATGAAAGTAGATCCAGGTGAGTCCGCTGGTTCAGTTAGGGCGCGTTTGGTTTCCTGGATGCAGCCGAACCAGGCTCCTCGCGTGCAGCTAGCTCATGATTGGTTGGCTGTGCTAGCCACTGGGCCTGTCCCAGGCCATGCAAAACGGACGCCCGAAGCTGGCTCTGTGGATATGAGAAATTTTCTCGTTTCTATCAGGCCAGGCTGCCGTGGTGCAGCGCACTTGGGCGTGAGGTACCGAATGAGAGAGCAGTGGTGCGGGACAAGGGAGCTACCAAACAGCGTCTCTCCGTGACTTGGCTAGACAGAAACGAAAACCAAACAAGAGAAGCTGCATGTGCTAAGCCTGGCCGGCCGGAGCCAGGACGTTAGAATAAGAGCCAGGTTTCATTCATCCGGAAACCAAACGTGCCCTTAGCACCTCTCTGTGTGCTTTACATTCATAAGATTGCTTGTATATATAAGCTGGTCTATTTTGCAGTTGTGTTCAAATTCGGAACTGGTTTGACTATCGTAACCATATCTGTATTGTAAGTACATTGTTAGATTATGGCAATTATGAACTGACCCAAAAAGATAACCATGTGGTGCTTAAACGTTGGTGAATTTGGATTAATGGTGAGCAGGTCTTTGAGAGGCTTGGACCAAGCTTATATGATTTTCTGAAGAAAAACAATTACCGCTCATTCCCAATTGCCCTAGTTCGGGAGATTGCCAAACAACTGTTGGAATGTATAGAATGTGTGTGCACAGTTCTTTCTATTACCCCTCCTGCACTATAACGCATATACATTAGTTTTGTGCACTATCTGTGCTGCATTGCAGCCTATCATTAATCCATTACTCCTGCTTATCCTCTAAGGAATATCTAACATCTTGGGATGTTTATGTATTTACCCTCTCTCTGTAATGTGTTGCAGTTATGCATGAATTGCGCCTCATACACACTGATTTAAAGCCTGAGAACATTCTCCTTGTTTCTCCGGAGTACATTAAAGTGCCCGATTACAAAGTATATTTTGTTCTTTTTATTTAATTCACCTACCCAAGATTTACCTTGTGCTGTGCTTGTTTATTTCTGTTGTATTGCTTAGTGAACATCGAAAAATATGGTTCTGATCCTCTTTTCATTTGCTAGGTTTCATCCCGATCCCCAAAGGAGGGATCCTATTACAAGCGGTTGCCCAAGTCCAGTGCTATCAAGGTGATTGATTTTGGTAGCACTACCTATGATCAACAGGATCAGAGTTATGTGGTATCGACGAGGCACTATCGGGCTCCAGAAGTTATATTGGGTATCCATCGTGTCCAGTGAAAAGCTTTTCCTAGTTCAGCCTGATTTGGTGACATTTTATGACTGCGTGGATCTTGTGTTCAGGACTTGGATGGAGTTACCCTTGTGATATCTGGAGTGTTGGTTGTATTCTTGTTGAGCTTTGCACGGTATGTTATTGAGCCTAGGTTTGATTTGGCATGTACAAGTACAGGGAATCTGAGTTACCAAGGTTCTGCAGGGTGAGGCGTTATTCCAGACTCATGAAAACTTGGAACATCTGGCTATGATGGAGAGGGTTCTCGGACCTTTGCCGTACCATATGCTTAAGAGGGCAGAGTATGTTTCATACCAATGTAGTCTGAACATCAGTCCTGTGAGGTCTGGTCGATGTCTTGTGCTTATTAATCCTTGTTTGTAGTCGGCACAGTGACAAATACATCAGAAAAGGACGCCTGAATTGGCCTGAGGGTTGCACTTCACGGGAGAGTATGAAAGCTGTGATGAAATTGTCCAGGCTTCAGGTATGTCTAAGCAATGCTTGACAAAACATTCATTTAGTCAGCACGTGAAACTTATGTCTATGTTGTCTATGTTCATGGCAGAATCTGGTGATGCAAAATGTGGATCAGGCTGCAGGAGATTTCATTGACCTTTTGCAAGGGCTGCTGAAGTATGACCCAGCAGACCGTTTAACAGCACAAGAGGCATTGAGGCATCCCTTCTTCACCGAAGGGTTTGGGCGAAGAAGATGAAATTCCTTGCAGCCTTCTTCACCGAAGGGTTTGGGCGAAGAAGATGGTATTCCTTACAGCCGACCTTGTTTGTCGGATTTGATGTCTTTGTATTTAACAGTCTGTACTTTTCTTTTTTCGACTGGTCACGGTAGACCAATCTGTATGTAAAGCTGTAAGGGAGTTTCAATCTTGTTTGAAACTCGTGTAGCTAAAGTTGTAGCATAGGGAAAGCCAAATGGACACATTTGACTCTGAATCCTGACTTGTTTGAATTTGACATGTGAATGAAAGTTTGGTTTGAGCAGAATGTGCTGGCATCATATATTAAAACTCTACGTCAATTTGGAGTTATTATCCAAGTTTTCGCACAGTAGTGTTCAGCTAAATAGACGCCAGTTGGTTGACTGCATTTTCTCGAGTTGTGCAAGGTGTTCATGAGCGAGTGTTTGTGCACGATTGCTATTTGGGTCTGTAGTTTAGTTGGAGCTTTTAGTATTTTTTTTAGTTCACTCTTGTGGTACCCTACAACACAAACACAGCCAAAGTAGCCAACACAATCGCGAATGGGCATGTGGTCCGGAGCTTTTAGTATTTTTTTTAGTTCACTCTTGTGTACCCTACAACACAAACACAGCCAAGTAGCCAACGCAAACGCGAATAGGCCCAGTGGTCGGGCTGTCGGCGTTTCCCACCAGTGTTCGAAGTCTGGTGATTGCACATTTTTCTACAAATTTTAGGGCACATTTACGCATGCGTGTTCGGTTTCTTGTGTGAGCACGTGTGTTGTGAGAGTGTGTGGGTTGTGTACGTTCAAATTATACCCGATAAAAAAAAAGAGTAGCCAACACAAACTCTTTAGAGCGTCCTCAACACATTTATTAGGGCGTCTTTAACACACATCCAAGTAGCCAAACACACTCCTTAGGGCGTCTCCAACCGTGCTCAAATCACCAGCTCAACGCATACTCCTTAGGGTGCCACCAACAACACCCGACGATTCTCAATTCACCACCTCAACACATAACCAAGTAGCCAAGCTCAAATCACCACCAGCTCGTTTAAATCGCCAGCTCAACACATAATCCTTAGTGCGTTGGCCCCAACGCTCAAATCACCAGCACAACACGTAACCAAATAGCCAACACATACTCGATACTCCTAAGCACATCCCCAACAGCGTCCCCCGCGGTGCGCAAATCGTTAGCTCTAGTGAAATTTTGTTGTCTGCTAAGCCCACAGTCGCTGGGCTCACACGTACTCCGAAAAAACTCTCATCTTCAATGCTATGTATACCTATATTCTCCATTTCTCCTTTTTTTATTATTATTTTTAGCTTTCAAAGCGATTTGATTATCCTGTTGGGGATACTATGCTCGTTGAGGCTAGCCATCACATAATGCGAGTATGCGATGCTCGGCTGGTGGCAGTCCTATTGTGGAAAGACGTTAAAGGCAGACTTATAAAACAATAATGGGGAAAATACTTGGTGCAAGCTATGTTGAGCAGCAGACCTATAAAGCAATAATAGGAAAAATACTCGGTACAAGCTGTGTTGAGCAGGGCTCGAAGGTGTGCGGTAGAGGTTCCTTGATCGAACTTACCACCGAGCATCGCATGGTTGAGTAAAGCTGAGAATTTGTGATCACCATTTGTTAGCCCACCTCGCTAAAATGGACTGTCACTCGTCCTTAATTGTGTGTCTCTATATATATGTTGTCTTTGTAAAGTGGTTGATAGTCTCCTCACTGTGTGTTTACAATTTATGATTTATGACAAGATTTGGATGAAATATATATGTTCTCTATAAGTGGTGCATCATCCTATTTGATACAGCTGTTTGGAAATGGACACATGTGGTACACCGGTGGAATTGTTTTGTTTTGCTTAGTGATGGATTTCTGGTAGAGTTTGTGACTGTCATTGATGCTGATTTGTTGTGAGAGGAAATTTGACTGAAATTTGGCTGCTGCTGATGGTGATGTTGATTTGTTGTGAGAGGAAAACACTGTTCGTTCGTTGAAAATTTCTGCTGAAGTAGTGCGGAAAAACAGTGCATACATCTTACTAGTTGTATAGTTCCTTGGTTGGATTCTTTTATAAAGCAAAGCATTTGAGAGATAGTTGACGTATTACTAAACTTCTGCACCAATATCCTTGAAATGGAATCAAGGCCACGGAGGAGCCGTAAAGACGAGCAGAAGATCAGTGGCAACAGCGAGTCAGTTTTACCCGAAAAAAAAAGGAAGGCCACATCAAAGCTGAGGTGCCGACTAACAGAAAATGCTAACATTGCAGCTGAGTCCAACAACAACCCAAAAAAAAAACTCAGGCTGCGTGGTAAACACCTCCATGCTAACAATGCAAGTACTGGGAATTTAACAATGCCTACAGAAGGCATCATCCCCTCAATAATTCGGTGCCTTCCTTTTATTTATCCATCATCAGTAGCCTAGCTATATACAAGTTTGATCTGACGAATCAAGGATCGCTAGCTCAGCCGAGCCTCCTATCACTGTCATGCATGACATCTGCTCGTTGATAAGCCGTGCGCCTTGTCGCTAATTCTTGTTACGCGGTCGCGGAGGTAGAGGCGAGAGTCAAACAAACGCTGCACCTCGTAGCCCTTAATCTGCGCTAAGGGTCACATGACCCTGTTCCCTTGTGTGTACGTCTCCTGTATCACTGTATGCACGGAGTACATTTCTAATCGGCGAATCAATGCAAGGGTTTTGCCACGTCATTGGTGCCGGCATGCTGTCGCTCTGCTAGTTTGGTCGAAACAAATCAACAGGGGCCACCGTCAGCGACGAGTTCATCCGTAACCTGAAATGAATTCGATGATCCAGTCGAAGATGTTGTGTCCGACTTTGTTCGCCGATGGAGCTTCGATTGTGTTGCAGGATATTCTCTGGATAGCAAGAAGGAACACATTTGGAGCTGGCCGTGGCCGACTGGCCGGTGACTGCGCAGATAAAGGACGCGCGGAAACAGCACGTTTCGTCGCCGCTGGATCCGCGGCCGTACGATACGACGCTCCATTGTCATCATCTGCCTTGGGGGCTTGCGGCTGCGCGGCCGTGCTTTGCATTGCAGGCCGACAAGACCACACGGTGAGCAACTGATACCTGTGATCTGTGAATGCTGAGTGAATCTCCTGTACACCTTGTCGGCCTGGCCTGCCCGGTCACCGCGCCGCTGGAGGACATGCATCGCCAGCACGGCGCCACGATACGGCAGCTGAGGAGCCGCAGTTCGTTCGCCCCCTGCGTGCCGGTTCGCGGATTCGCAGGACGGAGTCGGCCGCCGCAGTTGCCGCATCCCAAACGGCCGGGACTCTTTGGGCCCCCTCTACAAGCAAATCAGGTTCCGAAACATTATTAAACTGTCTCGACAATCGCGACCTAAAATATAAGATATATTCGTCCTTTATAGCACTACGGTCAAAGAGTTCGATACATATTTTTGTCTTCTCCAACGACAAGATCAAAAAAGACAACCCTTTCTATAAAGGGGTATCCAGGTTATACATCTCCTGATACCTAAAATATGTCTTTCATATATATACTCTGTTAGAGGCTATAGACATTGTGTTGGATATCTATTTTAACTTTAGGTTTCGTAATAAGTCTCCTTTGAAGACAACCTTAGATTATTATACTCTAGCTCTGACTTTTGATCACATGATTGGCATCGTGTTCAGCTTCACAATGAGTCGTACTCCTCGCCCATAGGTAGGGGCCACCACGGCCGCAAGGTCAACTACTCGCACCACAGCGCCTATATATTCGCAGCCCTGTCCGTACTCGTCCTCCAACCCAACCCCGACCTCAGATCCCTCATATCGTCTGCGATCGACAACCAACAGCCACAGCAGCTAGACACCGAGCTGCCGGTCGAGCCAGCAAGTAGAGGCTCCGGTAGCGCAGCGTTTGGTTAGTTATAGCAAAGGGATCGGCCGGAGCAGCACGTAGCGATGGCTCCGCAACAAAGCATCCATGCCTTGTCTGTGCTGGCGGCGCTTCTCTTCGCCGCCGCCTGCCTGCCGGCGCCGGCCGCCGCGGGGGTGCACCTCTCCACGCTGCCCAAGGCGCTCGCCGTCACCACCTCCGCCAAACCCGGCCAAGGTGCGCGTCTATCCATCCATTCCCATTCTCATCCTGCTCCGTTATTCGGCGTGCCGGCCGGCTAGCACTTTGACTACTCGTGCCGGCCGACCCGTTGGCTGGTTTGTTTTCGGTATTAGTTTGTTGTGAGAGAAAAACACTGCACCATGATTGATAAGGTCTGACTAAAACTAACAAATGAATAGGGCCATAAATTTCTGCCATCCAATGTGCAGCGCTTTAACTACCCATGTTATTTAGACTTTTCAAAAATAATATATTGAAACGTACTGTAGGCAGCTAATTAACCCACGAACAAGGATTGATCATGAATACGGTCTCTTAATTAGTAATATTTTTTTTTTGCATAAATTGTTTTTTACGGAAAAAAACTCAAATGACATTGATGCACGAAATCAGAGAATATGCTTCAGGTGCTCGTTTTTCTCTTAATTTCTTGCTGAGACAGCTGAACTATATGTTCGTCTGTTGCTTATACAAAGTTACAATGCGGCCGTGAAAGAAATGACACGCTGAGAAAGATTTTAAAATCCATCTAGGGCGGCCAATAGTAGATTGGAGACACTTTCTCTAATCCGAGTGCTCTCAAGGGCAAAAAAAAATTGCAATCTCTGCCTTTGACAGTTTGTTAACTTGACTTACCGTATGTGTTAATTTGCGTGGAATATGACGCATTATCTCTAAACCAAATGTTTAGCTAGCTACTAGTTGTAGGATTCTACTTTCTCTACATAAGTAGTAGATAAATATTTTGAAACCTTGCAGTCTCTTTATATTTGTTCACAATTAACGAGCTAACTAAATATGTACACATGGGCATGTGCGCAGTCCTGCACGCCGGCGTGGACTCGGTGACGGTGACGTGGAGCCTGAACACCACGGAGCCCGCGGGCGCCGCCGCCGCCTACAAGAACGTGAAGGTGAAGCTGTGCTACGCGCCGGCGAGCCAGAAGGACCGCGGGTGGCGCAACTCCAACGACGACCTCAGCAAGGACAAGGCGTGCCAGTTCAAGGTCACCCAGCAGGCGTACGCCGCCGCCGGCGGATCCCCCGGCACCTTCCCGTACGTCGTCGCCCGCGACGTCCCCTCGGGCTCCTACTACGTGCGCGCCTACGCCACGGACGCGTCGGGCACCGAGGTGGCCTACGGCCAGACCAGCCCCGCCGCCGCCTTCGACGTTGCCGGCATCACCGGCATCCACGCCTCCCTCAAGGTCGCCGCGGGCGTCTTCTCGGCCTTCTCCGTCGCCGCGCTCGCATTCTTCTTCGTCGTCGAGAACCGCAAGAAGAACAAATAGAGCAAGGGCGGCTGAGGGCCAAAGCGGGTCATCGTGCGCGCGGCGCGCCATGCATGTAATCGTCGTGCGTGATGACTTCTTTCCGGGCGCGACTATTTTGGTGTATGTTATGTTACTCTTCTGCAGTGTGCGTGAAAATTATGAAATAACCTGTACCGATAAGTGTCTCTGCTGATCCAGTTTGTAATGCGAATGGACTCAAAATCAGTCTACTCGAAACTCGGTTGATGGTTCATTGCCCACTTATTACAAATTTATTTATAGTTTATTTTGTAAGCAGAATGGGTAAAAAAGCTCAGTGTAGTCCCTATTTACACATGATTTTTTCTTCTTCTTCTGTTTACAAAAACAAAATTGAATAGCTTGGCTAAAAAACTATTATGTGATAGCATAAAATTTGCCACCTCATCTATTTCCCACTTAATTAAGTTGAATCTATCAATGAAATGGCAGGGCATGCGTCATTGACTTCCGATGCAAGATTCAATGCTCTTTCCTCTGAGCCGTTCTGAGAAGATAGTGAGGGAAGTATAAACTTCTTGAAGCTTGTCGGCCTGTTCGCTGGTTGGTATTTAGACTGGCTGATGCTGGTTTTTTTGAGAGAAAAATAATGTTGGCTGGTTGAATAAACCTGGCTGAAACATGACAGAGACAACAGAGATCATTCCATCTTAATATTAGAGTATGCAAAGAATCGTAAGCGTCGGATACTCCTTAAAACGCAATGAAGGGCCAATAAGGTTATGCCACATTGTTTCGACGGGTATTAGTCGAAACGAAGAGCCAATGAACATTGTCAACGGCTCAAGAAAATTGACGATGCGTGTGGATTGAAACAACACTATGGGCTAACAACGTCACAATCCTTGACAAAAAAACATATTTTCCACAAAGGCGAACCAAATCTTAGGTTTCCCTTTCAAGTTTCCAAGACGCAAGGAACTCGATTGCAGTGTAGTACTATACATGCAACAAGGAAACCATGCCAACAATAGAGGATTATACGGCAGCACAATACCAAGAATCCTGGCCATGTGGCTTCCTTCGGTATCTGGGGATTGGAGCCAATTCGCTCGTAGACTGGGGAGTAACACAAATTCATCTCCCTAATCTGGAGAGATATGGTCTAATCTACAGCATTTTAAACAAGCCATTGACAAAGAATGTTAAAGCATAGTTACGCAGGAATCAACAATAATAGTTAGCCTATGAAAGGTTCAAAGCACCTGTTTTGACATGGAAGAGGAGGGCAAAAGAAAAATTACACGCAAAAAAAAAAGGGAAATGGAAGAAACACCATAAAGGTGGTAATTAACAGCTTGGTGCAACGTAATCTGTATTGCCCACGATCCTCTCCGCTCTTCCAAGCCAAACATAACTTATTTTTCCGCAGTTTCGAAACGATGACAAAAAATCTGACCCCTATAGAGTTCTCACCACCTCTGTCCTGCGGGTGACCTGCAAATGGAGATATTATGCTTTATATACAAACAACTAAATTCACATGGCCACACTCGAGAAATGGTTTGTGGTAATAGAATTCTGAACTTCGATTCGTTGTATGTTAGTTATGTTGTGGTTTCTGTTGGCCGACACATAACGAAACCAAACTTAATTAAGGGATATATATACACAGTAAAACATATGGGTACAATACTACAATGAGCAGTAACCTCACAGGTCAAAATCCAAGGACATAACATGTGGAAGAAGAACATGTGCTAAGGTTACATTATTAAATGATAATCACAATTAACAAACAATGAAAAACAAGGACTATCCAATTAAATTTATGTTCATGTCTTAAGTTTGCAAGAATCATAATAAGTTGTTTGTTTTGGTTCGAATCGAAAACTCATAACAAAACAAGCACAAGAAATTAGCATACCTCTCTGAAATGCTGTTGCCACCAAAAGAGCCTCTGTCTCTGCTCCCCTGAAACCCCCATCTTTCTTCAGTTGGTTTTGGATATTGCTCTGTGCCACTGCGGGAACGTGGCCTTTCCATGGACTCTTTTATTTGGGGTTCATCTACAAAATTAGTTGGCGGTGATGCTATAACCCTGCCTGCTCCAGAACCAGGTCTTTGCGAAAATCTGATCTTGTCATCCATCGCAATTCTAAGAAGTTCCAACTGCTCTTCCATCTGAGTTATTTTCTCAGAGAGGCCTTTTGCATCCTCATCACTTATCTTGCCTTCACTTTCATTTAGTTCCACCATAAGTAGGTTGATCTCTTCTTTCAACACACTCTCTTCATTTGTCTCCGGTCTGAAATATCCATTTACATGTCAAGTTCAATTGGAAATTATTCATAGGATATAGAAAAAAAATGTAAATGTTTGTGTGATACGCATATATGTATTTAAACAAAAAAAAACTAGCAAATTCATAATTCGGAAAAGCATGCAGCAACAATGAACTAAGTGGATCAGCCAAAAATAGGCAACTAACTGGATGAGTTCTTTGAAGGATTGCTTAATTTGAGTTGATCGAATTCCAGACAACGTACCCTCATAACAAAATCAGTTCACCCTTGTGACAGGCTATGCCACAGATTGACTTATTAATTCTTCCCAACACCAAAGCACAGACTTTGCAACCAAATGGTAGATTATTGAAACAAGGAAAGTGAAAAGATGCATAGCTCTACAAAAGACAAGCAATGGACCTCTGTATCTAAACTAAGGGAACTATTAAGTTTAGTAAAACTCTCACGATTCATTTGTGCATACTGCAGTCTGCACAGTTATTTCTGAAGGAATATAAAATAAAATTACTCGACACCATCTTAATAAGGTCAAGAACTCAAGACACTGGCAGTGGCAGAGGAGCATTTTGAATACATTCTGATGCCGTTTTAGTGAATCGATAACGTAGACTTGGGAACTTTCCTAGTAAAACATTCATGATTCAGTGCTTATTCTATACAAGTGCATGGAACGGCAAAATACTTTTCAAATGGCTGAGTAATGTCAACTATCTCATCATAAAGGACCAGAACCCCTTTTTTTACCAAAATAGAACATTTATGGATTGACAGAGAACTTGCTAACCATGAAGAAATAAAAAAGTTCTTATTGCATGATATTCAAACATTTTCTCCAAACAAAACAGTGACTGAAGCACTAATGGCTTTGTTAGTGGAACGTAAGTGTTAGGATTACTGATCCATCCTACATGATGGCATGAGGACATGCTGGAAGTAGACATAGATGTTATTCCACAGGATCAGCAGGGAGTACACAAACAAGTTATTCCACATTGTTGTTATTGAAACCATATTACTCCATGACTCAGGGTGGACTAGTACTCCAAGTGGTAGATGATAATCATACTCATACAATACAAGGTGACTCAACCAAATAACATCATGTTTCCAAAGCAGATTTTAGATTGTAAACATATGAAACACCACACTATATAAACATACTACATGATACAATTTTAAAACACATTTCAATATGCACTTAGCATTAAAATCAGAACATTGTATGAAAAATACAGTTATTTTACAACAGAGGAATGAAAAATGAACTTTAAAGTATTTATTATCTTACCAGCAAAATTCTTAGGACTGCTAAAACTAAAAATAGAAAGATGATATATGTACTGCCAACTTAACAAGTGATTGGTAAAGAATTATTAAAGAGAAAGCAAAACAAACAGTTAATACAGCAACTCATCAGTATCAGTCGAGTAGAATGGAGTCAAACAAATCAAAACCCTGATGCAACAGTATTTAGTATATGTACATATTCAGATTAATCAATCATGGAAACCGAAACGGTAGTAAAAGAAGATAATAAAGCTTTAACAGATCAAATGCAGCTAGCAGCAATACTTAACATATGCTCACAAGCTTGTTAAGTTTTTATTGACTGAAAAGGAAAAAATGAACACTCAGCTCACAACCAATACTGGTTTGGCGTCCACAATAAACATTAGAAGCTCAAGGGAAATATGTAACAAATGCCGGCATCACTAACTCACTATCTTCAAAAGGAGAATGTACAGCTATGATAATAGCCATAGCACTGTTATGGATGCCCCCGCCACTAAATAGTAAACTAACTTGTATTAGGTCATTTGTTTTAGTTGAAGCAACAACAAGGTGGCTATTAGCAGCACTAGGAAAATGCTCTAGCTAACTACCACAAAATCAAGCAGAGTTCTAATTATACCAAAACCAAATATACGAGCGTGCAGCGTTCCTAGTCTTAATTATTGAATTCACAGGCGAATGCTAATGGTGCATGCTTTGTGAGAATCGGCTCAGATCAATATATGGGCATATACCTATCAATACGGCGATGCTCCAGCTCTTGGTCAATCTTCCTCCAGTCCTTCCCTTTCTCTTGCAGAATCACCTCCCTTGGCTTTGCGTCACCAAAAGGATTCGCCTTCGGCCGTGCCCTAGGTGCGGCTTCAGTACCGGTGGCTGGTATTTGTGACCCGGGGCTCCCAGGTCGTGACGATTGAGCACTCTCTGGCCTGCTCGACTGCGAGCTGGTGGGGCGGCTAGTCCTCTTCTGATCAATCTCAGTTTCCATCTTCTTCCAGTCCAGCCCCTTATCGGCCAGCACGTCCTCCCGTGGCCTCGCGGCTCCAAACGGGCTCGGCCGGCTGCGTCCCGCCTCAGCAGGTGGGGTAGGGGTGGCCGAGGCATCACGTTTGGGCGGATCGAGCACGATGCGGGGCCTCTCACGCTCGCCATTGCTCGGCGCGGCACGGGACCAGCGGTCGGAGGAGTCGGCCGAGACGGGCGAGTCGCGGAAGCCGCCGCCGCTGCCGCCGGAGCCGAGGCTCGGGTAGCGCGACGGGCCTGACGGCGGCGGCGGCTTCTTCCCGCGCGACCAGTCGCCATCGTCGTCGGCGCGGCCGACGGACGCGGGCGCGCCACCCCCGAGGCCGCCGTACCGGCTCCGCGAGCCGGAGTCGGCGGGAGAGGGCGCGAACGACTTCTTGCTCATGGACCAGTCGCGATCCTCGTCGGCGCGGGAGGGCATGTCGAGATCCGAACCCCTGCCGGGCGGCCCGCGGCGGCCGTCGTTGTCAAACCCGCCGCCGCCGCGGTCCCCGGAGCCGTAGGAGTGGAAGCCGCCGCCGAGGCCGCGGGGCCGGTCGAGCTCGTCCGCGGACCGCTCCCTGGGGCCCGTGGGCAGCATCATCATCTCCGCCGTGGTGAGGCCCCGGGGCTCCGGCGGCGCCGGCGCCTGCCGCCGCCCCGGGACGAACCCGGCGAACTCCGAGAGCGAGAGCGTGGTGCCTTTGCTCTTCTTCTTGGACTTGCCGGCGGCGGCGCCCGCGGCGGCCTCGCGGAGGCTGGGGAAGCCCGCCGCGGGGGCGGGGGTGGGGGCCGGGGCCGCGGCGGCGTCGCGCTCCTCCTCCTCGGCGCGCTCGGCGTCCAGCGCCCACGCGCCGGCGCCACCGAGGCCGCCCCAGGGGTTGGACATGGCGGGGTCAGGGATCTAGCAGGGTTCCGCGAGATCGCGGAGGCGAGGGAGGGAGGGGAGGCGCAGCAGGCTGGAGAATGCCGATCGAGCGAGCGGGGTGAAAAGGCGGGCGCGGTGCGGTGGACGGCTAAAAGGCGTGGGGCGCACCGCGCAGCGCAGCGCAGCGGCGGGCGCGCCGTGCGTCATGCGTGGGACAGTGGGGCCCCGGTTGGAGGCGTGCCGGGCCGGGCCGGGGCCGTGCCGGGCGTGACCTGACCTGACCTCGACTTGCCTGTCATGTCACCTCGGCTCCTCTGCTTCGGTTATTGGGCGTGGTGAGGATAGGAAACCGGTCAGCGCCTCATCTATCGCCGCCGGCACGTTGGATCGCAGCGGGGATTAGCACGTCGTCGTCGTTTCCGCGGCGTTTGCTTGGCCAGTTGGCGGCGCGGTTGCAGATCACGGGCTGCTGGTTTACGAGACTGTCATTGTACGTACGTGATTGAACGACTGGAAGACATGGCCGCACCGCAGCCGCAGCAGCAGTGTCGGAGCAAACGGCGGCGGGGCGGTGGTTACATTTTTTTTTCGAATCGAAAAAAAAGCACCACGAAACTGCGGTCATCTTTTTGGCGACGGACACGGCTGACGACGGGACACGTGGCTTCATCTTGCTCTCCATGAAAATTTCAACCTTTTCCTCTCTTGTCTTGGAAAGTTGGAATAAAAGAGAGTCGGGGGCATCTTTGTGGAATAATCTTCTCCGCAGCGGAATAACTTTCCGCATCGGCACCAGAGTTTGTGTTGCCATTCTGCTCCCTCACAGCCCTTAAAAAACTCCCATTTTTTTATAAATATAAAAATGTTTTAAATTTAATTATTTTATAGTAACTTTGTTTGAAGGTATAAACTCCCATTTTTTATAAATATAAAAATGTTTTAAATTTAATTATTTTATAGTAACTTTATTTGAAGGTATAAATGTTGATACTATTTTTTATAAATTTGATTAGAATTAAGAAAAGTTGACTTGTTCTAAATCCAGAACTACACTCTTCTAAGGGCAGACAGATGGAGTTGGAGTCATGCTCATGCTCATGCTCGGCTGACAATGAATTCCAGTAGTCCTTTTCAAAAAAAGAAAAAGAAGAAAAAACAGTAGTCATCTGACCTCAGTTCTTCATAGTGCGTGAAGTCCTCAGGCAGTTTGGACATCGCCCCAGTATGTCAGCGTCAATGGTTAGGTATTTCCGTTGCGTTTCAAGTTGAAAATAACTTCGACTCAGTACATCGCCCCCTATATGTAATGTAAGCATCAACGATTAGAGAATTTTAGTTGCATTTCAAGTTGAAAACCCCTTCTGCTCGTTTCATTTTTCTAAGATGATGATGAGATAGCAAAGTCGCAAAAAGAAACGAAGACAGCGTTTCTGATCAGTTTATTGGCCAAAGAGCAACTCAAGGTACAAGAGAGGAACATATGAAAAAGGTAGCCGTGAAATTTTGTTGCGAAATGTATAGTAGAACAGGCCAATAATCTGGCCTGACCTGTACACAATCAAACGAGCACTGAATGATCTTTCAAAAAAAAAAAGAACTGAACGCCAGCATGAAGACTTGAAGAGGTTTCGATCGATTCGGCGTTTAGTTTTTCTGTTCGTGCACAGTACTTCCGACAGGAACAGGAACAGGAGTATTGTTCACTGCTCAGCCATGACGAGTAGTAAAGCAGGTAAGAAATCCAAATAGCTTAAACCAATCTCAATTCATGAGAAACACTACCTTTATAGTTGCACAGATGTAATGAATTTCAGTATCCACAACAAAGTTTTTCATTGACATCAAAGATGACGAAGCAAATCCAAGGATATGTCTAGTTATACAAAGAATGTCAATTACAGTCCATGCACATAATGGCCTGCTGCTCAAAGGAACCATCTCTGCAAGAAATACTCAGCTACTGTCCACTGAAACGGTGTTCATCTCCACAATGTTAATCTTATATTATAAGAGACGTTTCGTAATACACGATGGAACAGTGCATGCTCATGATGTGTCGGGGGTATGGCCCCGGTATCCACGAAACAAGACATGAGCCACACCATCAGAGGTGGCCCAACCCATAAGATCAAAGCGTGCACGGCGCTGCTCGGCGTGCACCACAAGCTATTGTATAGTACCAAATATGATACTTTCCTTGTAACCCTACTCCTCCGAGTATATAAGGAGAGGCAGGAGTCCCCTAGTGGACAAGATCCATACATCTCATATTCAATATAATACAACAAAGACACAGGACGTAGGGTATTACGTCGATCAGACGGCCCGAACCTGTCTAAATCGCTGTCTCTACGCCTTGTGTCACCATCCAATTCCTGATTACGCGCACCCCCACCGACAAATCTACCATCGCGGGATACCCCTCGATGGACTGCCGACGATATTCTGTCGACAGTTGACACGCCAGGTAGGGATGTGCGCTTGATCCATGGCGAGCCAGATGGACCTCAAATCAACAGCGCGTTCTCGTCATCAATCTCGTGGAGATCCATGCCGGTCCATGACGACGATTCATCGCTAGCTACACCAGCCCCCGCGACAGCAGATCCGATCTCGGAACCACCTCCGAGGTCGCCTTCACCAACAACTCACCGCCCGCCAGGTGCTCGCCGTCAACACCGACCAGATAACGTCATACGCCGCCGACCAGACTTTCTATCTAAAGCTAAGTCACGCTTTAATATTCTTCTAAATATTCTCCAATCTCCGTATATCGCCATGATGTTTCTCCGAGCTGTTTTCTCCATGTTTGCTCTCCAAACGATTTTTCAACCCCCCGAATAGTCATGTTGATGCTCGGACGCCTCCAGAGACGGCCCTATCTCCGACTCCTCCCTACACGTGCTACGGGCTCCGCGCTCTGCGTTATGGATGGTCGGTAGCGGCTCCTTGGTCACGCCTGTTCCTCCTACACGTGCACGAGTTACGCGCTCCGTGTTATGGTTAACAGGCTAGCTAGGGCTGGAGACTCAGCTACACACTAACTGGTCGGGCGGTTTATATTAAATATATTTTCACACCAACTGATCGCCGAACTGCATAAGCCGTTTCATCACCATTGCTGATTTTTCTCCGGAGCTCATATATTTTTATATCATGTACTAGCCGTTCTACATATTTGTATTGCATGATTATCGTCTAGGTGATCGGACCACCTGGTGCTCGGACTTCTCCACCGATCAACTGGTCGGACCGCTTGGTTCATGGACTCGTCGCTGACCAGTTGATCGGACTGTTCGCCGATCGCTTCTACTCAATGCTCACTTCGCCGCTGACCAGTTGACCAGACTGTTCATCGCTCGTGCTTCATCGCCAGCGACGCCGGGAACTCCTCGGTGCTCGGATTCTTCGTGCTCGAGGACTAAGTGGGCACATTTCACCGCACGGACGTCGCCAGCTACGCCGGTGCTCGAACCTCGCCAGCTTCGCGGGAACTCCTCAGTGTTCGGACATCGCCACCTACGTCGGGAACTTCTCGCTGCTCGGACGTCGCCAGCTGCGTCGGGAACTCCTCGGTGCTCGGACATCGCCGCCTACGGCGGGGACTCCTCGCTGCTCGGACATCGCCAGCTACGCCGGGAACTCCTCGTTGCTCGGACGTCGCCAGCTGCGCCGAGAACTCATCGGTGCTCGGACATCGCCGCCTACGCCGGGGACTCCTCGACGCTCAGACATCGCCAGCGACGCCGGGGATTCCTCGCTCCTCGATGCTCAGACATCGCCAGCAACGCCGGGGACTCCTCGCTCATCGGTGCTCGAACATCGCCACCTACGCCGGGGACTCCTCGGTGCTCGGACATCACCAGCGACGCCGGGATTCCTCGCTCCTCGGTGCTCGGACATCGCCAGCAACGCCGAGGACTCCTCGCTCCTCGGTGCTCGGACATCGCCAGCAATGCCGGGGACTCGTCGGCGCTCGGACATCGCCAGCGACGCCGGGGATTCCTCGCTCCTCGGTGCTCAGACATCGCCAGCGACGTCGGGGACTCCTCGGTGCTCGGACATCGCCAACAACGCTGGGGACTCCTCGCTCCTTGGTGCTCGGACATCGCCAGCAACGCCGGGGACTCCTCGCTCCTCGGCGCTCGGACATCGCCAGCGACGCCGGGGACTCCTCGCTCCTCGGTGCTCGGACATCGCCAGCGACACCGGGAACTCCTCGCTCCTCGGTGCTTGGACATCGAATCTTGCTACGTCTCATCAGTGTGCTATCAAGCTGTTCCATGCTGTTCGGATCAGGGTGCTGATCTTGGGCTGCACGTCTGGGGTCTTGATACGCGCATGTCAGACGACGTCGACAAACTTACATACTTCTTTTTCTTTGACCCTGCTACAAGATTCATTCATCTTCCAACAGGCTCGGGGACTAAGTGGGCACACTTCACCTTGCGGTGAATGTGCGTTGTTCTCATCTCGAGGATACGCCCAGGGACTGGCTGCCTGCTCGGCTGGTCTTCTACTTTCTGACCCTAGCACCACGTGACTACGTCACCTACTGTCAGGCTCGGGGACTAGCTGTGGGGGTATGGCCCTCGGTATCCACAAGACAAGACATGAGCCACACCATCAGATGTGGCCCAGCCCATAAGATCAAGACGTGCACGGCGCTGCTCGGCGTGCACCGCAAGCTATTGTATAGTATCAAATAGATACTTTCCTTCTAACCCTACCCCTCCAGAGTATATAAGGAGAAGCAGGGGTCCGCTAGTGGACAAGATCCATACATCTCATATTCAATACAATATGACAAAGACACAGGACGTAGGGTATTACGTCGATCAGACGGCCCGAACCTGTCTAAATCGCTGTCTCTGCGCCTTGTGTCACCATTCGGTTCCTGATTACGCGCACCCCCACCGACAAATCTACCATCACGGGATACCCCTCGGTGGACTGTCGACGATATTCTGTCGACATGATGCGAATGTCAGAAGGTGTGAAGACTGAAGACATGAAGCAGC